GATATGAGCAAAATAAATATTGCTATATGGATGCAAGCTGACAAGCAAACATTACCTTGTACTTTGTACTTGTCTAGCATTTCTTACATTTAATGCTTTTACCTAATACTTTATAGTAAATTTTAGAATAACATGTATATCAAAAATTTTGCCTCTTTTTTCATGAAGTCATCACATAATAATTACATATAGCACAATTCATATTAGGATCTTCTAAGTATTACATGAACAAACGTGTGTTATGAATGAACCTATGAGTTTATGCTTCCATTTGCTTTCCTGCTAGAATGGTGACCCGTAACCACGATTTGACGGATTCCATATACCCGGCCAAACTGAATCTGAACCAGTGGAACTTCGTCGGCGCGACGTACAGCTACCCTACCGGAAAGGTCAAGGCTTGGCACGACGGGATAGAAATAGGAAGTCTTGACGTCGGCACGTTCGAGATAGAGACTCAGTACGACATCCGGGTGGGATACCTACACGGGGACCCCCGGCCTTTTGAGGGACGAATCGCCTGTATACAGATTTACAACATCCCTTTAAACGGCGATCAGATCAGGGATGCAGCAAGAAAATGTACCGGTCAGTAATTTAAATTTACCCGTGGTTTAATGATAGCAATAATACGTCGATAAAGGCTAGACATATCATCCAGGCAGTATGATACAGCAAAAAGCAGTTAATCAAGGTAGCAATTAAACACTATTACCTGTCAAAAAGTGCGGAAACGTGCTATTAATTAAACAATGATATTGTCCAAGAAAGGTCCATCATACAAAAAATATACACATATTCGGCCCGCGAAAACATACCCAAACACTAGTAAATGAGCATAACACCAACCACGAAGTCGGCAGCCGTTGGGATCTCATTTGACTTTAATTCAACTTAAAATCGTTTCGATTCGTATGTAACAGTAAGCGTGGCCTAAATGTATTCAGACAAAGTACTCAACGATTGGGTCTTCGCATCGTTCCCTTAGTTCTGAAGCCAATGAAATTGCAATTTGTAGGTTTAATCTACTACAGGTTTGCGCCTGGATAAAAAAAATCTAAATTTGAATACACTGAATAAATTAAATACGCTGTTATCATTGTTTCTTTTAAACTGGGAACAATAAACATATTAATCAGACATATGATGCACGTCTGAGGAAGTATAATACTCGTATCTATCTTCACGGTTTCCTAGCAGCTGCACAGCCGGTCGGTTTGTGGCGTCTCAATAAGCTGTACGGTCTGACAGACATTAGCGGAAACGGAAATGACGCCACAGGTGAGGGCGTGGCTCTTGGTACCGGAATGTACGGTGAGCCCGAAGGTTCCTACGTCTTGTCTGGCAACAGCACCTCCTACATAGAGATCCCAGACGACAGGACACTGGACACCCGCTACTCTCTCACTATCCTGGCCTCCGTGTACCCGACTGGACAGTCTGGGCCCTTACTACATTACGGAGACAACTCAAGCGGCGTCCACATGTGGCAAGACTCCACGTACTTCTTAAACGCCAGGTATGGGCAAGTGAGCGTGACATAATTAGCAGTTAAGGCCGAGGTAACCATCAAGTAGATATATTGTTGAAACATCGGTGATTTGCCGATTATTTAGCTTTTGTATTCTCCTAAGGCAACTGGCAAAACCTCCCATCACCTCTCACATTTGACAAAATGACTATTGAAGTGCTGTGTATAAATAATATGGCAGCGCGGGTAAAGGCTGCAGATGAGCTGACTAGGGAAAAAAGTATGGAGAGGCGCTATGGGGTAAGGGATGGGAAAACATGTGGATTATGACATTTCCAAAAGTTTCTAAATATTTCTAACAACACTCTATAATTTTTTTACCATTGTTTCGAATTATTTCTAACATTTTGTAAATAGGTCAGTGAGATGGGAAGGAAGTAATTCACACATCCCTGTGATGATACCCCAGGGTAGACTGCCTGGGCGTCATGCATTGATGCTTTACAACAAAAGAGCCACCAGTGTCCAGCAGTGAGATCTAAAAATATACAGAAGAATACAGAAGAGTAGGATTAGCACCTTCTTTTATCAGGGCAATTCTACACATCTACCATTTGGTTATTTGTTTGAAATATTTCTAAATATTTCGAATAGTGAAAGAAACACATGGGTAGTTCAAATTTATTCTAAATAAAGAGATCTCTGTACAGTCAATTTCAAAATGTTTCAGAAATATATAATGAATTCAAATATGTTCAAATTTTCATTTTAGAATTTTCGAAAAATTTAGAACTCTTGTATTCTTTTCTTCTAAATAATTCAAAATTACTAGAAACATGGAGAAAAAAAACACGGTAACGCGGAATTGACTCTAAAGCAAAACAAGAATTCCGAGACTTCATACCTCCATGAAATATGGGCTTGATATGTAAATGTAAATTTCCTCTTTAATTATGCAAATTACCTCCGCATTAACATGATATATGCATCGTAAAGTATGTTAACTTACAGATGTCCAAAGTATGACATTCCCATTATTCACCATTAAAAAATCATAGAATGTTTGCATAAAGTATGCAAATTAGGTCATCATTTGCATAATTAGTATCTGTTGATGTTCTGCCTGCCATAGCTTACATACATAACATGTATGTAAGTAGTATAATGTAAAACACTGTAATCATAGAATTTCCTCATTATTTATGCAAATAAAGTCCTCATTTGCATAATTTGCATTTAATCATGTACATCTCTCTCTTAGCTACCTACACACCAAAAATTATAAAAATATGTTGTTCCTATCTGGACTTATTGGCTTTTAAACATTTCGCCAGAAAGTGCCCTGCAGTTCCAAAACAAGCTGCTAGGGGGACCAAACTCACACCACTTATTCCTGACAGGAAAAGCAATCTGTCACCAAAACATCAAGACCAAAGCATGTTCAGGACAAAAGATACAAAAACCGGAAGTTCTCCTGCAGTACCAAGGTCATCCACCAGGAGGCCCATATTTGACCTTGACGTTTGTCTTCCTAAGACTAACCAACATACCAAATATCATCATAATCCATAAAGGCGTTCTGAAGTTATGCTGACCACAAAGTTGCGGAAACACAGACAGACACACAGACATACATACATACATACATACAGACAGACAGACACGCCAAAAACAATACCTACATTTTTCATGGAGGTAATAATGATAATAAAAATAAAAAAAATGCACCTGCTTTAATCACCTTGTTTTTTCTCACATTTCAAGGCTTTTTAGCAGAAATGCAACCATCAATCAGACCACACAAGCGCAGTATCTCACACTTAACCAGTGGAACTCCGTTGGCTTGACGTACGACTACAACTCAGGCATCCTGAAGCTTTGGTCCGAAGGTCTGGAGATCAGCAGTACAGACATCGGCGTGTACCAGCTCGGGACCAACCACGCTGTCCGCATCGGTGCCGTGGGGTCCGATTCCTTCAACGGAAGCGTTTCCTGTGTACAGATTTATGACGTTGCCTTGAACCAGAGCGAGATAGAACATGCCGGACGACTTTGTAGAGGTGAGACAAAGAACTTTGAATCATCGTAAGATTGAAATGGGAATCTGTGTAGCAAAAAATCGTTTAAAGGAAAACCTTAATGATATAGAATAGAAATAATTAGTATTATGTTTAAACTATTTTGAGATTGGAAACAAGGGAAATCGTAGATTTCAAACCTCCGGGTTTTTTTGTGTTCTATTGGTTTAGGTTATTTGTTTGTGTATAGAATGAAAGTTATGTGCGTAATATGTTTGTATGTGTTTGATGGCTACTGACGGTTGGTTAGGTATGGACTGTTGATCAACGTATCAGTCTGACAGCCTGCACCGTCACCCGCGCCATTACCCCCGCCGTCATCCCGCGCCGTCATTGCTGCGCCGTCACCCAAAATTTTTATCGGAACCAGACACCCCTCTGTTTGACCCCTTTTGAATGCTAACACCCAAAACTGCAACCGCCCCATTCCTTAACAACATGGTAATTACCATTTTCAGCATGGCGGGGGTGTCCGGAGCACTTAAAAACCTTTTATTTCGACGCCCATAAACACATATGCAATTAAACAAAAACGTTCTGCATCATCTGCAGCCCAATAGCAATACGTATACCGAACCACAGACAAATCCGTCCAGCCGATTGCGAGAAACAGCTGCTGACAGAAATGTTTGGAACCATAGTAAAACCTCCTCGCGGAAGGATATCTCCTTCCCCGGAGGTAAAAAGGGAAGCACGTCACGACCTTCAACCAATCTTGGAAGGAGGTCGTGAGATGTGATCGGGGCTTCAAGGACCAAGCCATTACGTACATACGCATTATGACGACGAGGTTTCCGACAAGGTGTGCACGCGGTTCTCTCAGTCCTAGGGCTTCTTACCATGGTAATGTACAGAGCAGAAAAGGACAGTTTCTTACTTACTACTAGTTTAAACAAGATTCAGCGAAAATATTTTAAATTAAAATACACTATAAGTGAATACGCTTTTATTAATGTAATTGTAAAGATTTTTTTTTCAACGGGGACCAATGGACATACTCAAGCGTTGGTGCTCGCCTGAGGAAGTATAATACTTGTATCTATCTTTAAATGCTTTCCTAGCACCTGGGCAGCCGGTTGGTCTGTGGCGTCTCACTGAGCAGTACGGTCTGACGGACACGAGCGGAAACGGAAATGACGCCACCGGTGAGGGCGTGGCTCTTGGTACCGGTGTGTACGGTGAGCCCGAAGGTTCCTACGTCTTGTCCGGCAACAGTACCTCCTACATAGAGATCCCAGACGACAGGACACTGGACACTCGCTACTCTCTCACCATCCTGGCCTCCGTGTACCCGACTGGACAGTCTGGGCCCTTACTACATTACGGAGACAACTCAAGCGGCGTCCACTTGTGGCAAGACTCCACGTACTTCTTACACGCCAGGTATGGGCAAGTGAGCGTGACATAATTGGCAGTTACGGCCAAGGTAATCGCCAACTTATTAATACTGTGGATAAAGGTGTGATATGTCGATTATGCATCTTGTTTTCCTCGTAAGGCAACTGCCAAACATCTTACCACAATACGTACTTTACGGAATGACGACTTGAGTGTTGAGTATAAATGATAAGACAGCGAAGGTATAGGCTGCAGATGACCTGAATAGCGAAGAAAGTATGGAGAGACGTTATGGTGAAGGGGAGGATGGAGAAGAGGTTGAGAAAGAAAAATGCAAATCTGGTAACAAAAAATAGAATGAGGTCATGGTAAGACCATATTATAATTGTTTAAAGTGAAAAATTCATCTGCGTTAATTACCTTGCTTTTTTTCTCGCCTTTTAAGCCTTTTTAGCAGAAATGCAACCACCAGTCAGACCTCGCAGACGCGGTGCCTCAAACCAGACCAGTGGAACTCCGTTGGCATGACGTACGACTACAACTCAGGCATCCTGAAGCTTTGGTACGAGGGTCTGGAGATCAGCAGTACCGACATCGGCGTGTACCAGCTCGGGACCAACCACGCTGCCCGCATCGGTGCCGTGGGGTCCGATTCCTTCAACGGAAGCGTTTCCTGTGTACAGATTTATGACGTTGCCTTGAACCAGAGCCAGATAGAACACGCAGCAGCTCTGTGTACAGGTTAGCCATCCGTGTTTGAACTATTATAAGATTTGAAAATGAAAACACGTTAGCACTAGATTTCTCTACCAGATCTTTCCGCCAAATAGATAACTTAAAATGAACTGACCTAAAGGGGTATTTGGTTGGTAGTCACTCAGAGAAAAAATACTGGTAGTAAGTGGTAAAATCTATGGCAAATTACTCGACCTCCCGCTTCCCCATCTGGTTTTGCACACACACACACACACGTACAAGGCATGGTCAAAGTAATTTTAAGAAATGGCACAACATCAAAACGTAGAATTATCACCAGATCGGGAATCAAGACCATGCGCGCTGTTGTTTTAAAATGTTAGTATAAGAACGGAAGTTACTACTAGTGTTCAGTAACACTCTGTGGTAAAACTTTTTTGCCCCGGCTTTTTGCCCGGTTTTATGGTAAGTAGGTAGGTAGGTAGGTTGGGTGCTTGGTTGGTAAGTTCCTGGGCCATGCACAAACCTATTAGATTGATGGAGTTGGATCATTTGCATATGGATTGGATAGCCTTCAGCTATACCATTGGGGAGTAGGGGTGACAGGTTGATTGACGGCACTTAAATACGATGACTGCAACACTGATTCACGTATATATTGTCATATACATAGAAGTAGCGCAGTGCATTAAGTCACTGCTATCACTGGGAAATTTTGTATCTGCTCTTAACCCTCAAGAGAACACATTCCCGGACTGATTAATCTGTACTCCTGGGGTCCGCGCGGACCCTAGAACAGTTTTTTGCTAATTTTAGAAATTATCAACATGCTACCAGCTTAATTGTTTTGCGAAGTGATGTGTGAACCTCCATGTCCACATTATGTACAAAAATCATGCATTTTCAACTTTTCGTATTTTTTGGTGAAGAAAAGAAGAAATACCCAATTTTTAAGCCTTATTCAGACCGAAGGGGCTTTTCAGGCCCAACTTTAATCTCAGATAGCGCCTGAACGGCTTGCGCCAGAAGCATCAAATTTGGTGACCTTTTCTAAAATGTATCTGGGAAAAAGTTCATATTAGTTTAATACTAGTAAGTTAATTATTTTTTTGTATGTTGCCATTGCAACGGGTTTCTGATAGGCAGTTTTTTTAAACATCAGTAATTTTGGTTAAACATAAAAAATAAGGGTTTTATGTCAAAGTACACTTCCTTTCTAGCATTAATAACATCTTACATAATTAAAGATAAGTTAAATTATGTAATATTCATAGAATATGCTAATTTGATGACGCCATTGGTCAAAATCCAATATGGCGGACCATATTTTTAGCTCTGACATCATATGACGTCATAGTTACACCAAAGTTGTTAAAATTTAATTCTATAACTACACCATTCTATGAAAATGTGGTAGCCGTATTATAAGTGCAACAAACATACAAAAACGGAAATAAGGTTATGTATAAGAACGTCAATGTATCCATTACGATGGAAAGCCGGCTGGGGTCCGCGCGGACCCCAAAAGAAAATCAGATAGAATTTTTTTTTAGAAATCGGGAAAACGGAGTTTTCTGCACTGTATTGAGGGACAACTTTGTGGGTGACAATTACCTAAAATTTCAGAAAAAAATCTTTAGAAACAAAAAAGATATTACAGAATATATAGTGCTGGGGTCCGTGCGGACCCTAGGTGTTCTCTTTAGGGTTAAACTAAAGAAAATATCAATATGCACCCCGTCAGCTTTTTTAAAAAGCTTTCCTTGTTTTATTCAATATCACTAGGTAGCAGCATCGCTTTGGGAAAGCCTGCGACACAGAGTAGTGATTATGGTGACCACGCGCTCGCAGCAAGAGCCGTGGATGGATACACAGGACCAATTAACCAGTGCACACATACACAACTCAACTTTGAGCCGTGGTGGAAGTTGGATTTGGGCGGAAGTTACATCATCGAAAGAGTTCGTCTCCTGAACAGGAGAAACGGATATGGTACGGATGCAGTGCATTTTTCTTATTGCAGTGAATTTGATGTTGGTCAATTCGATTACGCGTTACATGCTTATAAAGTTTAAACGGTTGATCCAACACAAAGAGATTATATCACCTAGAGATGCCGACCAGCAGTCACTCCGGCCTTCCTCAGTAGATAGATCCAGTAAGACTTGTCATGTGGAGTTTCTGAAAGTGACGTTAATACTGGGTTAGGTAATTAGTAGACGATACCGGCCCCCGTCGCGGTTGAGTATATGTATATGTATCGGTATAGCCGGCACAACCTTCCTTCGGCGTAGCTAATTTCCGTCTCGTAAACGGTCGATTCCATTTGAAACGGTGGTGCCATTTCGCAGTACGGCTAACTTTAAGTTTATTAGCACGGCCCATCCACACCGTGATGTTTCGTGGCGTACAGATTAGGGTTTAGGAGCTACACTCTTGGACCTAGGTCAGAATCCGAGGTTATGCTTTTTTTTCAAATAATACTTACGATTCTACATGACCCTCTCTTATATTTGCAATTAGAATATTGCTCTTTGTAGTATATACTACTTTTTAGTCGTTTTTGGACGCTCAGATATGGCATTGACCATTCAGCGAAATGGCATCGGCCTTTTCAATTGACATCGACCGTTTACGACACAGAAATCAGCTTCGGAATAACACACCAGCTTGAATAAAGGGTGATGGGCCCTGATGTTGATACACAACTGAGAATATCTTCACTTGCATGATGCAGCGAGTTAAATTTGATATACCATTTTATTTGTCACTAATACATTGTTACTTTAATATTAAATCATTATATATGATAATTATAAATGTGTACCCATAAGTATAAAGTGTTTCTTTTATCAAATTAATATTCTCAACAATTTTTTTCTATGTTATGCCACAGGAGAGCGCCTTGAAGAGTTCCAAGTTCGAGTTGGAGAGGATTCGGACATTTCAAAGAACTCCATCTGCGGAAGAACGGCCAATCAGCTGGACGAGCCACCCGAGGATCGGAGCATCACCGTCGACTGCGCTCAGCCAATCACTGGCCGTTACGTGTCCGTACAGCTGATCAACCGGACCGATTATCTCACACTGTGTGAAGTAGAAGTGTTCGTCGCTCAAGGTAATAATTCAGAATGCCTCCCCGGAAGCTCTGATGTACTCAGTACTAAACGCTAAATGTAACCCAAGCACACTGTTGACAAACTGTTGCCTTTTATGTCACGTCAGGGTTTCATTATTGTACATGCACACCTTATTTTTTAAAAGCAGGACGGTCTTTACGTATTGATGTACCATTAACGATTTTATAATTGATGTATAATATTTTAAAGGAATGTTACAATTGACAAAATCAGCCTGGTCCTGCGAAGTCGGTTGAAGATAAAAAAATTTGATCGATTGATTGATTGATTGTATTGAAAATTGATACATTTCCGAAAAAAGATGTGTCAAGTGGATATGATTCATGCTAGATTGAATTGAAAAGTTATTCAAAGAAACAAAGTAAGGCCTTTTTGATTAAAATGATCGTAAATACCAGTGACTCAAGACATTTTCAGATAGTAACCTCACCCATAAGGCAGACATAAACGACATTTTGTACATTGCACATCTCTGCTTACAGCATTTAATAGTTTAATTATGGAGTTCTCGGCTTGTCTTTATGCACTCCAGTAATGATTTACAGACTCTGAAGCCTTTCGTTACTTTAGCCGTCTGGTCGTTATACATAACCTGGTGCCGTAACCGTCACTTGTTTCTCCTTATTAATAAGGAAAAGATGCAGGGTGGCTAACGTTGGACTTCTACTCAGTGATCAACTCAACTGGGACCCCCCACGATGACGGCAGTATTGTTTATGACGCCTATAAGACGCGGGACGGGAACCTCTCCACCTACTGGCACCCAACAGGCGTGACTGACAACCAATACTTCATTACTTTTGATTTGCAAGAATACTATTGGGTGTCCAAGATCCGCGTGATTGGCTACGAGGAAGATGACGCAGCCACTCATCACATTGCCGCCTTCACCATCATGACAGCGCTGGACACAACAGGAAGTTGGACCGACGTCATTTCCTTTTCCGGTTTGGCGGGGAGGCAGTTGAAGGCGTTTACAGGGTTTGTGGCAATGAGTCGCTACTGGCGAGTGGACATCACGCAAACGTCACACGGCCTCGAGCCGTACGTGGCCGAGATCCAATTGTACGGGTATTTGGGTAAATATTGAAGTTTTTTTTTTACTATAATAAAAGTTCTTAGACACCTAGAGCTTTAGACGAGTCCCCTTCTTGTTTAATAGACTGACCCACTGAAATGTGTCACGTGGCGTCAACACTGGGTCAAAGGTATCTGGTAAACTATGTCGGCCCCCGTCGCGTTCAGTGGTTGATGTATAATGTTGATAGCCGTTTTCACACTTCTCAAGAAGTAGTCCTGTTCGTTATTAAGTACTTTTATTTCGTGTTGTGAAGGTTCTGAGCTGACTGAGAGAGAAACGTGTCGTACTTATATTGGGTAGCCAAACAGTACCCCGTGTGATACTGCTAGTTATCACACTTACGGGCACGTCTTAATCAAACCTTATCTCGGCCCAGGAACGGCATTACAATATAATATGTCTCTGTTCTCCCAGCCTATCCTCGACAGACCGCAGAAGTGATGACCTTCTCCTCACCCAAGTCTCCAGCGAACTACGCCAGGCACCCAGCATCCCTCAGTCAACCACTGACCGAGATAACAACATGTCTGCAACTGCGCAGTGACGACGCCATTTTTGGTACTCCCGTCAGCTATGAAATGTCAGCCAATGCATTTAAACTGATCGGACAAAGTACGGGGAAGTTTAGGGTAAGGGGAGTACCAACAATGTATTGTTTGTGTTTGTTTGTATCTTTCTACAGCGTACCATGGCAAGATTTTGCTGCCTGTTTTCTGATAACAAAGAAAAGTACTTTGGTATTTACGGGCCGACAAAATGGCTGATTGAATGCACGTTGTTAGCCCTCGGCACCCACATTGTAAATATTAGCCGATGATTAAAACAACACCGGTGTATGTAGCAAAGAAATTCTCTAGGATACCTATGAACTAACTTGCCTCAAAAGTTGTTTTGCTGACACATTTTTGAACCTAGAAGTTGGGAATATTATAATAATCCATCTGAAGCTTCTAAAAAGTTATGCTGTCTACAGAAAGACAAAAACACAAACACACATCAGCTGCGTCCACACTGGGCCTGTTTAAGGCATAACAATTTTGTCATTCATATTTCCACACAGATTTGTGTAAATGACCAAACTACTAACGAGGTAGAACTTATCGTCTCGTATCCACGCTTCCTGTGCACCACGTGGTCCAGTACAGCGGGAGACTGGAAGTTTTACGCGGACGGGACAGTGATCGCCTCCGGATCGGGGCTAGCACAAGGGACAAGCATTCCGGCGGGAGGAGTCTGGATTCTAGGCCAGAAACAGGATAGTATCGGCGGGAGTTTCGACACTTCTATGGCCTTTACCGGAGAAATCTCTCTCCTGAACGTGTGGGACCGGGTGCTGACTGAGGCGCAGATCGGAGCGGCCAGCAGCGGCATGGCAGAGGGGAACATCATCAACTGGAGACAGGACACATTTCTACTCTACGGACAAGTCACGAATAGCAGCGGTAAGTAGACTAATGAAGGCTGTATGAAGCTTTGTTGAGCGTACATTTATGAGGACAATAGAGACAATCTCATAAGCTTTAAAAGCCGTTACACAAAATACAATCATATTTACAGTCTCTATATGATAAATATTTTACACGGCTCTTGATTTTTTTTCATCAGGATGTGAAGATTCTAGAAGCACTGGTAATGAAACTAATTACCAGTGGGACATCGCTCTTCCTGTGTCATCTCCTTTGACCTTCAGTGTCATGGCCGGAAATGACGTACACATCGCCTTGTCGTCACAAGCAGCTGAAATCAATGACACGTATGAGATCGTCATCGGTGGTTGGAACAACACACAGTCTGTTATTCGTCGTGCACCGGACGGCGATAATGAAGTAACAGTATCAACTCAAGGTACGCGTTTCTTCCTATATGTTACCAACTCAGACTGGTTGTACGCACGCAAGTCTACATGCTCTGGAAACCTTACTCATAAACTGTGCCCACACAGTCATATACAACTAGGAAAATAGTCTTCTCATTTTAGTCGTGGCGTCTGTGTCAAAACAAATGTGTTTTCAGGCATCATGCAATTATAAGCTTTAATATTTTTTTTTAGATATTTTGTCATCTGATGAGTTCAGAGGCTTTTGGATCTCCTGGGCGGCAGATGGAACCATCGCTGCCGGTCGCGATGGAGAAAGCAGTCCGTTCATGCAGTGGCGGGACCCTAACCCGCTCGGTATTGCGTACTTCGGGTACTCAACAGGTTGGGGCAGTGCCGGAGAGTTTAGATTCCCCTGTCAGCCAAGTATGTGGATGTCAACTTATAATTAGTCAATGCAATTGTTGTATATGTATCTTTACATTTCACGCGTCGGTATAAAGAGCGCCCTAACGTTTTCATTGACATTTAGATCAGAAAGTTCTCTCGCCTGGAGCATTTGATCAGTCACTCTGGTCTTCCTTTAGTAGACTGACTTAGTTATGCTTATCACGTGACTTCTTTGAGGTATGACGTAAACACTGGGTCAAAATTAGGCGATGTCGGCCCCCGTCGTAGTCACACTTCGGAATCCACATGACAAGTCTCACTGGATCAGTCTACTGAAGAAGACCAAGGTGACTGGTCGAGAGCTCCAGGCGGGAAAACTTTGTTTTGGTTCAAAGGTTCTAACTCTAAATGTCAGTTGTATGATTAGGCCACACCGACTTAATTTTATGGATGACATCCTCTGAAGACCCCTAAACTAGTGCGCGCGGGCGAATAAAAATGTTACTAAACCACAGGAATACAAAGCCCAAGTATTGAGAATTTGCCGCAGAGCATAGAGACGTATACGACAAGCCGGCTTTTTGCGGAATGTATGGATCGGCACTGTTCTTATGAGTTCTTGAATCATGGAGCTTCGCGTAGGTTGGGTGCCCGGCTCCCTATTGTCGCTACCTTCCATGGACTACCCAGGCCTGGAGACAGGCCAGAGCCTCGGGGGACGTGATCTTTTTTTTAGAACAGCCGAAAATCAATGCGCGCGCGGATGTCATACATAAACTTAAGTCGGCGTGGCCTTACGTGAAATGTTTTTTTACCTCCATGAAATGGAAGGTATTGTTTTTGGCGCATCTGTGTGCGCGCGCGTGTGTGTGTGTGTGTGTGTGTGTGTGTGTGTGTGTGTGTGTGTGTGTGTGTGTGTGTGTCTATGTGTGTTTGTGTTTCCGCATTTTTGTACCTTCATTAGTCCATAACGCCTTCATGGATTGTGGTGATATTTGGTATGCTGGTAGGTCTTAGGAGGGCGAAGGTCAAGGTCAAATATGGGCCTCCTGATGGATGGCCTTGGTACTGCAGCAGCACTTCCGGTTTAAGGTTGAGTCAGGGCATGGCTGAGAGGAATCTCCTTTGTACTTGCGAGGCAGGGTAACAGATGTGGCTATGCCCAGCGAGGCATCGCGCTCCCTCAGGGGAATAGGTGACCTATTTCAGGGCAAATGTGGCAGTGCCACTGTATGGCTGTGTGTTTGAAAACAAACAACCTGTGTTATTACCTCCATGAAAATGGAGGTATTGTTTTTGTTGCGTCTGTCTGTCTGTCTGTCTGTCTGTGTGTTTGTGTCTCCGCACATTTGCGGCCAGCATAACTTCATAACGCCTTTATGGATTGTGATGATATTTGGTATGCTGGTAGGTCTTAGGAAGACGAAGGTCAAGGTTAAATATACGCCTCCTGGTGGATGACCTTGGTACTGCAGCAGAACTTCCGGTTTTTGTATCTTTTGTCCTGAATATGCTATGGTCTTGATTTTTTGGTGGCGGATAGATTGTCCTGTCTAGTAAGTGGTGTGGGTTTGGTCCCCATAGCAGCTTGTTCTAGAACTGCAGGGGACTTTCGGGCGAAATCTTTAAAAGCCAATAAGTCCAGATAGAAACAATGTATTTTCATCATTTTTGGTAGGTAGGTAGCTGAGAGAGAGATGTACATAATTAACTGCAAATTATGCAAATGAGGACTTAATTTACATAATTAATGAGGAAATTCTATAATTACAGTGTTTTGCATTATAGTACTTTCATACATGCAATGTACTAGTATGTAATCTATGGCAGATGGAACATCACCAGATACCAATTATGCAAATGATGACCTAATTTGCATAATTAATGCGAAAATTCTATGACTCCTTAGTGGTAAATGATGGGAATTTCATACTTGGTACATGTGTAAGTTAATCAAAAGTTAACATCACGATGCATTTATTATGTTAATGTGGAGGTAATTTGCATAATTAAAGAAGAAATTAACATTTACATGTCAAGCCCATATTTCATGGAGGTATGAAATCTCGGAACTCTTGCTTTTTTTTTGTTTTCCATTTTTTTTGTTCAGGATACTCATTACTGATGCCTTCGTATTACGGCTTTGACATCTACAAAGTACCCGTGAATGGAAGCATGATAAGTGCCAGTCTCCGCACCGCTTGCGAAGCCCAGGGGATGA